AAACACTCGGAAATCGACAAAATGGACCGGTCGACACTAAAACGAACCTAAAAACGACTCGATAACACAAATAAACACATAAAAATAAGCACAAAAACATAACAAACATTTATTTAATTAATTTCATAATTAACACATAATTAATAAACATTATGTATATCTTTAATAATTAAAATTGGTATAAATTGAGTTATTATTACTTTTTTGATAAAAATATGTTGATAGATATATAATTCAAGTCAAGAATTAATATAAGATATTGTAGATTAAGTGGCTAATGCACCTCTTTATTGTGGTTCAAATCCTCATTGTGGCAATTTTTTTTTAATAATTCTTCCGTCTAACTGTCACTTGTTTATTGTGTTTTTGTGTTTATTTTTATGTGTTTTTGTGTGCTTTCGAGTCGATTCTAGGTTTATTTTAGTGTCGACCGGTCCATTTTGTCGTTTATCGTGTGTTTCTATGTTTTTATTATTTATTTTATATTTTGGCGTACTTGTTCGTGTTTTGGGTATAAATTTCAGGTATATTCCGAGGATGGAGATGGAGAGTCGAGCCATGTCCCGAGAGAGTCGAGTCACATTCCGAGCGATGAGCATTTCCCGAAGAAGTCGAGTTTCCAAGTAGTTCAAGCCATTTCATGCGAGTATGTTCGAACCGAGAAGTTGAAGCCTTAGCCGATTCCAACCGAATTCATCTAGTCGAGAGTCCCGCGTGCTCGCCGAGAGAATCGCGCCATCGAAAGTTCCAGCCGTTGTTGCCCAATTATCGCGCGCGAGCCCGCTGCCTTTTCCGCGAGGTCGAGAGCCATCGCCAACCGTGCCGCGCGCTCGCCACACTTTTCGCGACCTCGAGAGCTATCGCCAGCCGTGTCGCGCGCTCGGCACGCTTTCCGCGACGTCGAGAGTTCATCGCCCAGCCCCAGCGCCTCTCGCGCTCGCGAGTTCGCGTGCACGTCTGCGATGTCGAGAGTTCGGCGTCTATCGTCCAGCGCACTCGCGCGCTCGCGAATCTCTCCGCGCGATCGAGAGCACGCTGCCCAGCACTTCGCGCACTCGCAAGTCTCTCCGCGAGGTCGAGAGCATGCCTTCCCCGTGCGCAACCGTCCATCCTCATGAAAAATACACTAGTAAATATGTAAATCACACACTTTTTCTGACTAATCAGAACCACATGAGGAAGAACAGGTTGCAAATATAACCAAAGGTAAAAAAAAGCAAGATCACCTCAGACAAGGTGAGAGAGGAAGAAGCATCAAACAAGGTGAGAGATGAAGAAACATCAAAAAAGGTGGGGGATGCCAGCCTGAATTGGCACCCAACCCATCAATGTTAGCTGCAGTGTGGAATTGTAGGGGCTGGGTGGGCCCTCTACAATTTCCCAAATCAAAGAGTCTTTTAGGACTCACCACCCAAGGTTCTTTTTTCTTTCAGAAACCAAAAACAACAGTGTTTTTGTTAAATCTACTAGTAGTAAGCTGGGATTTGGGGACAGACATCACATAGTTGACCCCAGAGGCCTAAGTGGGGGATTATTAT